CGGCGGAGAGGGAAAAGGAAGGGGCCTGAGGCTGTTAGGAATGGTGGGAGTTGGAGTCCAAAACACCTAGAAGGTCCAAGTTCACCCACATCTGATCTAGATGGTCATCTGTCCAGAGGGATCAAAATGTGCTTCTTCTCATGGCCCTTTGGGGTCCCTCCCAGCTCTATGGTTCTATTTTCATTATTAAGCAGAGGCTGGATGGCCATCTTTCAGGAGGGATCGGACTGTGTTGTCCTGCCTGGCCAATGGGGTCAGACTGGATGTATCTTGAAGGTCCCTCCCAACAAGGATTCTATTCTCCCTCTTCTTCTTATTATTATTAAGCAGAAGCCAGAAAGTCATCTGCCAGGAGGGATCAAGCTGTGTTTTCCTTCCTAGCAGAAGGGAGTCAGACTGGATGGGCTCTGGGGGTCCCTTCCAACTTGAGGATTCTATATCTATCTGACATCTCTCTCTCAATCATATCTATGACAATTTATTTATGGCTGGAGGGCCATCTGCTGGGAAGGATCGCACTGCGTCTTCCTTCCTAGCAGAAAGGTTGGAATGGATGACCTCTGGGTCCCTTTCAGGTCGGGGATTCTATGATATATCTATCTGCCATCCATTTCTCAATCATATCATATCACTCGTTGGCTGGAGGGACATCTGCCAGGAGGGATCGGACTGTGATTTCCTGCTGGGAGGTCGGACTGGATGGCTTCTGGGGGTCCCTTCAAGGTCTAGGATTCTATATATATCTGCCATCCATCTCTCAATAATATCTACAATCACCTACCTATGGCTTGAGGGTCATCTGCTGGGAGGGATCGGACTGTGTCTTCCTTCCTAGCTGAAAGGAGGTTGGACTGGATGGTCTCTCGGGGTCCCTTCCAGGTCTAGGATTCTATGATATATCTATCTGCCACCCATTTCTCAATTATATCATATCACTCGATGGCTGGAGGGCCATCTGCCGGGAGGGATCGGACTGTGATTTCCTGCTGGGAGGTTGGATTGGATGGCCTCCTTCCAGGTCTAGGATTCTATATATATCTACCACCCATCCCTCAATAATATCTACAAGCAACTACCTATGGCTTGAGGGTCATCTTCCGGGAGGGATTGGACTGAGTCTTCCTTCCTAGCAGAAAGGAGGTTGGATTCGATGGGTCTCTCGGGTAGTCCCTCCCAGGTCTAGGATTCTATATCTATCAGCCATCTCTCTCTCAATCATATCTATGACCATCGATTTATGGCTGGAGGGCCATCTGCCGGGAGGGATTGGACTGTGCCTTCCTTCCAAGCAGAAAGAAGATAGGACTGGGTGGCCTCTGGGGGTCCCAGGTCTAGGATTCTATGATATATCTACCTACCATCCATCTCTCAATCATATCATATTGATTTATGGCTGGAGGGCCATCTGCTGGGAGGGATCGCACTGTGATTTCCTGCTGGGAGGTTGGATTTCAGGTCTAGGATTCTATATATATCTGCCACCCATCCCTCAATAATATCTACAACCAACTACCTATGGCTTGAGGGTCATCTGCTGGGAGGGATTAGACTGTGTCTTCCTTCCTAGCAGAAAGGAGGTCGGACTCAATGGTCTCTCGGGGAGTCCCTTCCAGGTCTAGGATTCTATATCTATCAGCCACCTCTCTCCCAATCATATTGATTTATGGCTGGAGGGCCATCTGCTGGGAGGGATCGGACTGCGATTTCCTACTGGGAGGTTGGACTGGATGGCCTTTTGGGTTCCCTTCCAACCCGATGGTTCTACAGCTTTTGGGTCAAGCTATCTGCTTGGATCTTGCAAGGGAAAAGGCAGAGGAGCGAAGGAACCCAAACGAACGGAGGAGATTCCCTCCTCCGCCTGCTCTGCAAACATTAGCTCATCCACGTATTGGAGCAGGCTCCCTGCAGGGCCCCTTCCATCAGAGCGAGTGACAGATGAAAGGGACCCCGGAGAAGAAAGGAAGGAAGAAGAACAAGGAAGGAGGAGGAGGAGGAGGAGGAGGAGGCGGCGGCAAAAGTTCCCCACCTGGCTTTCTCCGACTTCTTCTTCTCTCCTCCCATCAAGACGCCAGGCACGATCCAGGTGAAGGGCTGAAAGGTGAAGAGCAAAAAGCAAGGCTTCAATGGACCCCGTTTTGTGGGGAGGAAACCCCACAGGTACTTGAGGGGCCCCCACAAGCCCTCCTGGCACTCTTCTCCTCACCTTCAACAACTTCTGGATGGTCTCAAAGCTCTGAAGGGCCAGCTGCAGGAAGAAGAGAATGGAAACAAACAGGAAGGAGGGTTTCAAAAGTGTTTTTCCTGTCTGGCAGGAGGGGGCGGGACTGGATGGCCTCTAGGTGTCCCTTCCAACTCTTTGAGTCCAATAATAACCATTATAATAGATAATATAATAATAATAATAATTCTATTTTTCTGCCTGGCAGGAAGGGGCAGTAATAATAATAATAATAATAATTATTATTATTATTCTGGGTTGTTGTAGGTTTCTTTCGGGCTATCTGGCCATGGTCTAGAGGCATTCTCTCCTGACGTTTCACCTGCATCTATGGCAAGCATCTTCAGAGGCAGTGACCTCATTGCCTCTGAGGATGCTTGCCATAGATGCAGGCGAAATGTCAGGAGAGAATGCCTCTAGACCATGGCCAGATAGCCCGAAAAAAACCTACAACAACCCAGTGATTCAGGCCATGAAAGTCTTTGACAATACAATAATAATTCTATTTTTCTGCCTGGCAGGAAGGGGCGGGTCTAGATGGCCTCTGAGGGTCTCTTCCAAATCTGAGTCCAATAATAATAATAATAATAATAATAATAATTCTATTTTTCTGCCTAGCAGGAGGGGGTGGGAACGGATGGCTTCTGAGGTTCTCTTCCAACTCTTTGAGTCCAATAATAACAATAACAATTTAATAGATAATAATAATAATAATAATAATAATAATAATAATAATAATTCTATTTTTCTGCCTGGCAGAAGGGGGGGGGGGTGAATGGATGGCCTCTGGGTTTCCCTTCCAACTCTTTGAGTCCAATAATAACCATTATAATAGCTAAAATAATAATAATAATAATAATAATAATAATAATAATAGTTCTATTTTTCTGCCTGGCAGGAAGGGCCGGGACTAGATGGCCTCTGAGGGTCTCTTTCAACTCTGAGTCCAATAATAATAATAATAATAATAATAATAATAATAATTCTATTTTTCTGCCTGGCAGAAGGAGGTGTGAATGGATGGTCTCTGGGTGTCCCTTCCAACTCTTTGAGTCCAATAATAATAATTATAAAAGATAATATAATAATAATAATTCTATTTTTCTGCCTGGCAGGAAGGGGTGGGACTAGATGGCCTCTAAGGGTCTCTTCTTTAAGGGTCTCCTCTTTGAGTCCAATAATAGTCTCTGAGGGTTTCCTCTTTGAGTCCAATAATAACCATTATAATAGCTAATATAATAATAATAATAATAATAATAATAATAATAATAATAATAATTCTATTTTTCTGCCTGGCAGGAAGGGCCGGAACTAGATGGCCTCTGAGTGTCTCTTTCAACTCTGAGTCCAATAATAATAATAATAATAATAATAATAATAATAATAATAATTCTATTTTTCTGCCTGGCAGAAGGAGGTGTGAATGGATTGTCTCTGGGTGTCCCTTCCAACTCTTTGAGTCCAATAATAATCATTATAAAAGATAATATAATAATAATAATTCTATTTTTCTGCCTGGCAGGAAGGGGTGGGACTACATGGCCTCTAAGGGTCTCTTCTTTGAGGGTCTCCTCTTTGAGTCCAATAATAACCATTATAATAGCTAATATAATAATAATAATAATAATAATAATAATAATAATAATTCTATTTTTCTGCCTGGCAGGAAGGACCGGGACTAGATGGCCTCTGAGGGTCTCTTTCAACTCTGAGTCCAATAATAAAAATAACAATAATAATAATAATAATAATAATAATAATAATAATTCTATTTTTCTGCCTGGCAGAAGGAGGTGTGAATAGATGGCCTCTGGGTGTCCCTTCCAACTCTTTGAGTCCAATAACAACCATTATAATACCTAATATAATAATAATAATAATAATAATAATAATAATAATAATAATTCTATTTTTCAGCCTGGCAGGAGGGGGCAGGACTGGATGGCTTCTGGGTGTCCCTTCCAACTCTTTGAGTCCGATAATAATCATTATAATAATATAATAATAATAATTCTATTTTTCTGCCTGGCAGAAGGGAGTGGGATTTGACCGGAGGGCCTCTTGGAGTCCCTTCCAACTCCAGGATTGCTTAGTTCAGTGTGAACTTTAACTCCAAATTGTAGGGTCTACTTTTCATAGGAAGGGTGCCTGCCTTTTCCCTTCCCTGTCGACCCCAAATATCCATCCTAAAGCAGGGACGCTCCCAAAGCGAGAGACATCCTCTGCACCGTCCCCACCCATGATCCAAAGCAGGAGGAGCCCCAGAGCAAAGAGAGCGCACGAATGGCACCCAACTTACCTCTCGGGTGGGAACCAGTATGAGCGCGTAGGGCCCATCGCTGCGCTGTGGGAAGAAGGGAAACAGAAGAGGAGACAGTAAGAAAACAGGTCAACAGGGGAATAGATTGCTTTGGAGGGTCTTCAAGCAGAGGCTGGATGGCCATCTGTTGGGAGGGTTTTGATGGGGACTTCCTGCATAACAGAATGGGGTTCAATTGGATTGGCTCCCTGGGGTCTCTTCCAGCCCTAGGATTTATGATATACCAATTGTATATATATCTCAAGCGTATCTATCGTTAGATGGCCATCTGTTGGGAGGGCTTTGATGGTGGCTTCCTGCATAATAGAACGAGGTTCGAATGGATGTCCTTTGGGGGTCTCTTCCAACTCTAGGATTCTATGATATACCTGTCATTCATTCATATATATCATATCATATATCCATGGCTGGATGGCCATCTGTCAGGAGGGTTTTGATGGTGTCCTCCTTCTTGACATGAATAGGGTTGGACTAGAGGGCGCTTGAGGTCTCATTCAACTCTACGATATACCTATTATATATCTAAATCTAATCATCTATCTACCGATATCATATCTATCATATCCATGGCTGGATGCCTATTTATCAGGAGGGCTTTGATGATGTCCTCCTGCTTGACATGAATAGGGTTGGACTAGAGAGTGACTGGGGACCCATCCAACTATTATATATACCTATTATATATCTATATCTATCTGTATCATATCTATCATATCCATGGCTGTATGGCCATCTATCAGGAGGGCTTTGATGGTGTCCTTCTGCTTGACATGAACAGGGTTGGATGAGAGGGCGCTTGGGGTCTCATCTAACTCTATGATATATCTATTATATATCATATCTATCATATCCATGGCTGGATGGCCATCTATCAGGAGGGCTTTGATGGTGTCCTCCTACTTGACATGAATAGGATTGGACTGGAGGGCTCTTGGGGGTCATATCTGACTCTACAATTTTATGATATTTATATAAATAAAAATGTAATGTTAGTTCGCGCTACCATCAGAACTCAAAAACCACTGGGGGAATTGACACCAAATTTGGACACAAGACACCTAACAGTCCAATATATGTCCTCCACTCAAAAAAATTGATTTTCTCATTTGGGAATTGTCGTTACTGGGATTTATAGTTCACCTACAATCAAAGAGCATTATGAACTCCACCAATGATGGAATTGAATCAAACTTGGCACACAGGACTCCCCTGACCAACAGAAAACACCAGAAGGGTTTGGTGGGCATTGGATTTTGGAGTTGTAGTACACCTACATCTAGAGTGAACTGTGGACTCAAACAGTGATGGATCTGGACCAAACTTGGCACACATACTTAATATGCCCAAATATGAACACAGATGGAGTTTGGGGGAAATAGACCTTGACATTTGGGAGTTGTAGTTACTGGGATTTATAGTTCACCTACAATCAAGGAGCATTTTGAACCCCACCAACGACAGAATCGGGGCAAACTTCCCACACTGAACCCCCATGACCAACAGAAAATACTCAAGGCCATCCAATCCAACTCCCTTCATCAGGGCAAGAAAACATAATCATAGTCCTCGTGACAAAGAGCCATCCAGCCAGAGAGAGAGAGAGAGATAGGGAGTTATAGTTGCTGTGATTTCTAGTTTACCTACAACCAAATAGCATGATAGAATTGAACCAACCGGGGCATACAGAACTTCTATGATCAAAAGAAAACACTAGAAGGGTTTAGTGAGCATTGATCTTGAGTTTGGGAGTTGTAGTTTACCTACATCCAGAGACTACCATGGACTCAAACTATGATGAGTCTGGACCAAACTGCCACAAGGACTCAATATGGCCAAATATGAACACAGATGGAGTTTGAGGGAAATAGACCTTGACATTTGGGAGTTGCAGTTACTGGGATGTATAGTTCACCTATAATCAAAGAGCGTTCTGAACCCTACCAACGACAGAATTGGGCCAAACTTCCCACACAGAACCCCCATGACCAACAGAAAATACTCAAGGTCATCCAGTCCAACTCCCTTCACCAGAGCAAGAAAATATAATCAAAGCCCTCCTGACAAAGAGCCATCCAGCCATAGATATAGGTAAATATTATTCACACATACACAGATATATCATAGATTTGAAAGGGACCCCTGAAGAAGGACAATTATATGTTGCATGTTCCAGAGTAGGCAAACCAGACACTCTCCGCATCACCACTGACAAAGAAACAGCAAGAAATACTGTTTACCCAAAAGCAGAAAGAAATTACATATATTAGAAACCATTACTTGATTTTCCAGATCACCAGACTGGGCCACAGCAACATGTGGCAGGGGACAGCTAGTATATATATATATATATATATAGAGAGAGAGAGAGAGAGAGAGAGAGCACCTGTCGGGGGTGCTTTGATTGTGCTTTTCCATCCTGGCAGAAGGGGGTCAGATTGGATGGCCCTTGGGGGTCCCTTCTGGCTGCTCAAGGAAAGCGGAAGAAAGGGGAAGTGGGCTGCAAACACACCTGAATCTTGGGCTCCAGGCCTTGCAAAGACTGCACCAAAGGGATCCCATAGGCCAGCGTTTTGCCTTCAGAACAGAAAAGAAACATGATTTGGCTTCATCATCTTCTTATTGTAAGCAATGGGAGAGATGTTTGGAGAGGAAGGTTGGAGGGAAGGCCCAAGGGAACCCACCTGAGCCAGTCTGGGACCTCACCAGGGCGTCTCTCCCTTGCAAGAGGACGGGAATTGCCTGCTTCTGGATGCTTCGCAGGCAGCCATGTTGGAAAAGAAAGGGGGGAAACCAGAGAAATGAGACTTAAGGAAAGAAAGAACTCAGTCACTTCAATGTCAGTTAAGTACTTGGATGGCCAGCAAAGTGTTTACCTGGTCAAGCTGGACAGTTTCAGGACAGAGGTGATTGTTGAAACCTACAGAGACAAAGCAATGCAAACACACATGTCTCAAGACAGGAGAGAAATAATAGCCATCACGACAATCATAAATGATTGGCCCTCCTTTAATAATAAATGGACTGCATGCCTCAAATAAATAATAATAATAATAATAATAATAATAATAATAATAATAATAATAATAATAGTAAGGCCCAGGACTAATAATAACAACAATAACAAATGTATTGGCCAATAATAATATCAACAATAATAAATGTATTGCCTACATAATAATAATCATAATAATAATCATAATAATAATAATTGTATTGTGCATCCTAATAAATCCTTAATAATAATAATCTATATAAATAAAAATGTAATGCTCGTTTGTGGGATTAACATAACTCAAAAACCACTGGATGAATTGACACCAAATTTGGACACAGGACACCTAACAACCCAATGTATGTCCTTCACTCCAAAATCCACAAGCATGTGGACAATCTCAACAGAAAGGAGGAAACCATGAAAATGAACAAAATCTGGCTACCAGTATTAAAAAAAAACTCTAAAATTACAACAGCTAAACATCAGAGGGTAAACAATCAGGGACATCTAATCACCTCTCAACAAAAGATTGCCCCAGGCACTGCCAGGCCATCAAATGCTAATCAAGGTGGTCAGTTGAAACATTCACACCTAGCTCCAGCAGACAAGAGTCCTTTGCCCCACCCTGGTCATTCCACAGATATATAAACCCACTTTCCTAGTTCCAACAGACCTCACTACCTCTGAGGATGCTTGCCATAGATGCAGGCGAAACGTCAGGAGAGATTATTATTATTATTATTATTATTATTATGGCCATATAGCCCGAAAAAACCTACAACAACTCAATAATAATAGTATTTACCAGCTCTAATAATAATAGTAAATGTATTGCCCACCTTTAATCATAATAATGCCCACTCATTATGATTACGATTATTGCTACTAGTAATAGGCAATACAATAATAATAATAATAATAATAATACTTTTATTATTATCTGCCTCTTCTTGTGGCTTGAGGTGGAGCACAACAAGAGAAAACAAAACGCTATTTAAAAAATACACATAAATATACACAGGTAAAATATACAGATTCTATCTCACTGGAGCATTGCAGCGCACCCAAATACCTGGGAGTCACTCTGGACCGTGTTCTTACCTACAAGAAGCACT